TGTTTGTTAATTGATTGTTTCTAATACATCCTGGGTAACTATACAATCTGTTGTGTTGTTTCTTTAATAGCCAACATAGTTATCTGTTGTAAATCATTACTAACGTGCATTTGTATTATTTATCATTAACAATGTTATTGTGAATTGTTACAATCATAGTATTGTGTATATATATGTGTATGTTATAGCTATTGTTCTTTACTTTTCCATTTACAAAGAATAGTGTATTGTAACACAATCTACATATAATTGATATATTAGATTATGTTTACTATAATCGTTTCCTAGTGTTCTTTAGTTAATCTAGTACTATGTGTAATTGTAGTATTTGTTCAATGTTTTATTTGTTAATTGGTTTGCTAGGTAAAACGTTTTATATATTAGTTTTATTTATTTTATTTGAATCATTGTATAGATGTACCTATTAGTATCTATCCAATGTATTTCATAGTATTATAATACTGTTCATGCTTGTATTAATTGCACAGTGAGGGCAAATTAATTGTTTGTACAAGAATCAATTTAATAGTTTTATTTAATTATATGTATGTGCTCCATACTTGTTTATATAGTTATTATCTGTGTATTGTTTGTTGTAGTTGCAAATTATATTGTAATTATATTCGTATTATCCTATGGATATATTATTTATTGTTTTATGTATGTTCTAAAGTATTATTTTTGTTATTCATCACTTTTATCCATGAACTATAGTCTGGGTTAATGAATTATTTTGTTATATGATGTGATAATTGTCTGTATATTATTTATTTTCGTATTAAACACTGTTAAGTTAATTATATTATCATATTAATATTATTTGCCAAGTATGAGCATTTGTTTCATAGTAGAATTATTATTTATTTAATGTTGAAGTTCAATTGTACATTGTGTTGACTTCTGTTATTTAGTTCTGATCAACATAGTTTCACTTTGTACTGAATGATTTACCTTTATGATCTGTTATGTCTGTCTATAACTTCTATCACTTAGTCAGTGCTTAGTCTGTACATTTTGTTATTCTATTTTTCGTAGCATCCATAGCATTATACTTTCTGTTCTGTTGTTTATATTTAGTTATTAATTTTTCATGCATATTATCCATTTTCTCCCCTTCAATTCAAGAAGGTATTTCTTCAAAGAATTGGATATTTCTTTAACGTTTATTAATTGTTGTTATAATATAATATTTATATATAATAATTGTAATTGCTTTTGTGGTTCAATTTCTAATTATTAGTATTTTAAAGCAGTGTGTAACATTTGTTATGTTCTATAATGAGTAATTTAAATGTTATTACTATTATATCTTTGTTATCATTAACATTCATCAACTTATATAATGTGTATTTTGTTTGTTATAGTAGATAAGTACACATTATGTATAATATACAAGTTTCGTTTGCACTCATTGTCTTTTATTAATAATCGTTCATAACTATGAATGAATATTTTGTTTTTGTGTTGAAAACATATGGTAATTCGTTTGTTTCTGTATATATTCATTTAATAATGTTGTAATTATTATTTATGTAGTGCTTTTAGTAAATGTGCTGAGCTCTATTAAGTACACTTGTATCTGTTATTGCCTATTTTATATTATACTGTCTGAGATAATAGCTTAAACATTTTATTAATTTATTTAATCATATTATATTATGATTGTTTTTGATTGTAATTATTATAATAATGCGTTTGTAATAATTGTATTTGTATTATTTGTTGTAATAGCCTTATCAGCTTAATACTTTGTTCCTACAAGCTACATTGTCATGATGTAAATTTAATAATTGTTTGTTAAGGTATATATGCTGTACAGTTGATGTTACCATTGCAACTTCGAAATTTATTATATAATCAGCTGTCGTGATAACACGTTCTGCATAATTAAGTTGTATTAATGTGTTGTTTCAAGTATATTAGAGATATAATTCTTTCGTTTGTTGTTAGTATACATTTACACAATTGTATTAATGTGTAAAGTAGTATCATTTGTTTAATAGTTATAATTTTTGCACTTGTCTTGTGCTGTAGTCAGTATTTATATGTTATAATATTATTCTTTTGTGCATAGTTAGTTTATACACTCTGTAGCATTGTTTTTTGGTTTGTAGTTATTCATTATACTTTTGTATATCTGTACTTGTCTGTATATCTTAGATATGTGTATTATATTTGGTATCCAATAAGTAATCACAATATCCAACATGTAACTACTGAATCTAATATGTTACATATAATTGCTTGACCATAATATGTGTTAGTTATTATATTGTTCTGTATTTGTTCTGTTAGTTCTATCTGTATTATTATCATTATTATCATTATTATTGTTGTTATTATAGTGTCTGCAATTGTATTATTGTTTATAATGTATGTTAAATGTTTTATTTATTCAATTTAATATACTGTTTAGCATATATGTGCTCGTTTTGAGCATTAATCGTTTGGCTGTGATATTACTATGTGTGTTATTATTCGATTTATGCTATAACATATGTGTGCTTGTTGACAGTGTCAATCATTTGTACTATTGTAATGTTAATAGTGGAAGAGTAACGTTTGCTTTATTAATCTTTTTAACGTTCGTCTGTAGTATGATCAGTTAATTTATTATAACATAATCTCTGTGATATTATAGAATATTTTAGCATTTAATAATCACAGTAAGTGATACTCATCATAGTTTCAACATTGCCTGTATAGATTACATTATTACTAGGCCAATGATCATAATCACTAAGATGACAATCATATAATGTCTGGGTTGTATGTAGTATGGTAGATCATGCGTTTGCAGCGTATTGATTCACGTTTGGGATACTCAGACAGGTGAGTTGAGTTCTGCATTGTATTATACTGTGTGTGTGCATGTGATGTGTAGAACTGCATAGAGCATAGACATAGTAGAGTGTAGATAAAGCATAGGCAGGGAGCCCAAGGCTCATAACCTGTTAAGAAAGGGGAAGAGAGGTTATGTGAGAGGCTTAGAGGGATCACACAAAGAGGGGGGATAGTGGACTCAGCTCACTCTCTCACAGCTTGCTTCATTGTCT